CTGCCGGATGCTGCCTGCCAGACACCTACTGCTGCCTGCTGCTGGCTGCTGCTGGCTGGTGCGGGCTGCTGCTGGCTGCTGCTACCTGCTGCCTGCTGCCTGCTGCTGCCTGCTGCTGCCTGGTAGTAAAAGTAGCAGTGCAACACCTCTTCTTCCCTTACGCGCTCCCCCTTGCATCGGCCGGGGTCAGCGAATTATTATTATTCTTTCCTGGCAGCTGTGTCATAAACTCTTTTTCCCTTACGCACTCCCCCTTGCGTCTGCCGGGGTCGGCGGATATTATATATTCAAAACACATTGTGATTTATGAATATATATATATAAATATTCTATAAATATACAACATAATTGCAGAAACAGATCTAATCAATCTATATACATACATGCATGCATACATACATACATGCAAAAATGCATAATATATAAATGTATTTACATATATCACACATAAATATATATCACACACACATATATATGATATATCATATATATATATAATATAGATATATCATATATATATATAGATATCTCATATATATATATATCATATACATATATATATATCATATATATATATATATCATATATATATATGATATATATATATATGTATCATATATATATACATATTTGATCTATATATGATTTAATATATATGTCGTATATATATACACATATATATATATCGTACCATATATATATTTTATCATATATATATATCACATATATATATATCACATATATATAAATCATATAAATATATACATATATATATAATATATATATATATTAAATCAATATATATATATATATCATATATATATATGATTTAGATATCTATATATCACACATATATATATATATGATATGTATATATATATATATATCATACATATATATGATACAAGTGAAATAGATGTAATCTATCCATATCCCATTTGGCGCCCATTGCTGCCATTCGGCACTCTTAGGCCTTGGCCAAGAAGGCTCAGGCACTGCAGGTGACCCACTTGGGAGAGTGTGTAGCTGTACCTCTATACCACATATATGTAAATAAATAAATATATATATACAACCATTTAAATGGAAAATAGCCCATTTATAGATAATTATATTTACCATATATATATGTATATATATGGAAAATGGCCCATAGAAATAGATGATTTTCCCAGCTAGAAACCTCCATTTATGGTTGGGATTTTCCATGGCGAACTGTTAAATTACCAGATGCTATATACAAATTAGTGTGTGTCGATAGTAGATGCCTATAATAATAACAATAATAATGATAATAGTAGCATGTATATGCATGCGTATGTACATTATATTTTCTAATGTACATGCAAACGTATGTGCAGGTGCATGTCTCCCAGTTGCTGATCGCATCGACTCCAGGAAAAGGGAGAGGCTCTCCCGGCGCAGCACGCCATGATCGAGGCTCATCAGCGCATGAAGCAGGTGCTGAATGGGACGTGGCCCGGTGGTTATGAAATTACATCAAACACGGGTGTGGTCTTGAAAATGATGAGCTTGAGCTGCTTGAAAAAGTTTTCCTTGGCAAGGGTGGTAAATACTCCTATTTGTTTGAAAACAAATATGGGATCATCATCTGAATAGATGCTTGTCAAAGACGATCAGATGCCTGGGTGATAACTGTACGTAGTCTCTTGGTGGAGACCAAACTATGCCACTGCCATCCACTGCCGCTGGATTGGAAAAAACACGCTGGCTCAACTCTACCGCGGTGGGAGAAAAATCCGGTGGTTTGAGAAGCACCACGGCTGCAGCAAGCGGCAGAAATCCATTTGTCAATAGATCTATAGTTGAAGACATACACTTAGAACACGATTTGGAAAACAAAAATCAAAAAATCAGCAGGGGAATATGTTCTAAGTATACACTTAGAACACCCACCAAAAACATAGACATATGGCGTTTTGGGGTAGAATTGTTTGCAATATTGTCGCTATATATACATATCATATTATATTATATTATATTATATCATATCATATCATATTATATTATATTATATTATATTGTATTGTATTATATTATATTATATTCCATTCTATTCTCTATTATATTCTATTCTATTCTATTATATTATAATATATTATATCATATCATATTATTTTATATTGCATTATAATACAATGTTGTATATATATGTCTTACAATTGTATTGTATGACAACTTTACATGGACGGACATACACTTAGAACACATGTTGGAAATATAAGATGTGTTCTAACACGTTTCTGAAGCGGCTCTAAGTGCACACTTAGAACATGTTCTAAGTGTGCACTTAGAACACTTAGGGTAAATTTTGCAGGCAGGGGAAAGGCGTTCTAAGCGTATGTTTTTTTTTTTTAAACAGTTTGTGTTCTAAGTGTAGGTCCGTAACTATACTGGGAGATGATCAGTATTGGGATGTTTGAAGAGAGGGATCGGTGGCTCGGTCGCTTTTTCAAAGTTTCTCGGGCCCAAATGGCCGATTTAATGTAAAACCGTTCTTGGTGGTCCTCCGATTTCATCCAGTTCTCTAACCAAGCTTTTCTTCGTTGAGAACTTGCTCCCTCTCTCTCCCGCCTCGTCCGAACTTTGGATTCCGATACGCAAATTCGAGATGAATATGATGAATCAACCTGGTTTCCAGTGTGCCCAATCAGCTCGTATCTTCCCGAGGTATATCCTGGATCCTTCCATGACAGAAGGCTACTTTGGATGTCACTTTGGCCAGAACTCGGGAGCCTGGTGGCGCACCGGCGAACTTGATGCCACCGAAGATTTACAGTAGACATCCCATCCAAAGCCAGACCTGTTCATACCAGTTTCAGCAAGGCAGGTTGAGACGGTTTTGACACGCTTTGACCACGCTTTTGGAGACCCTAGAAGCCAAAACCAGACATGCTTGGTGGTTTCAAAGATCTTTTTTTTTCGCAGCCTAGGGATGAGGTTCTCAATCAATCCCAATTGGCTTGCGGCGTATTGATGGGATTAAAACTACCGGTAAGAAACTGAGAACCAATTTTCAAAGATTTGAGGATGGGTAAACATGGGGGCCAATAGACCCACATTTTGGTCTTTTACTCTTAAACCATCTATTTTTTTTGGGTTCATTCAACCCATTGGCTTGTTGGAACTCTTGAGTCCTCATCCGCCATTTTTTGGGCCCAGGACAGAGCTAGAGGAAGGGAGCTTCTGGGCTGGATTCTCTCCGTGCGCAGTTTTTTTTTTTTCGGTGGAGGACCCAGGAGTGAAGGACTGAAGGATGGTGAAGACCCCCCCAAATCAACGGCGCAGTTGTGATCTAAAGTGGGTTTGTCTGAAAAAGGGAGCCCAAAATGCCCAAAATGTTATGGCTTGTCATCCCCGGATTATTTAAAGGATCATCAAGCAGGGCAGGATGTCCCAAGCAGCTGCCAGGTACTGCTTGAAATCAGCGCTCCCACCTGAGAACTCTCCGACCCTGCGGGATAGCAACTTGCGCCTGAGATGGATTCGGATATATTGGTGGGTTCTTTTGTGCCTCCGCTGCAGTATGGGAAGCATCGGGGGGAAATGGTGGACTGACAATACTGACAATATGCGGATAGGCTCATTGAAATCACTATGTCTCAAAATGGGTCGGTAGGTGAAGATCTTAAAGCAAGACTACTCTGTTGATTTTCTGGAATGTTAATGAGAGGCAAAGGCTTTTGACCCATGGCCATGGCTTTAATTTTGAGGAAGTCATTCCCGCAAATTGATAGGAGAGGTTGGCAAGTTGTATACCCACCTGACCACCAGCCCTTGGGCAGGAAATCCATTTGAAGTGGCATCCTGTGTACGTGCAGGTATGCAAAGGAAATCAGATGGGCCACACCTGAATACCTTCTAGAATCCACGTTGTCATCCGTTGTGTGTTTTGGTATCCGTTGTGTGTTTTGGTATCGGCACGCTTATATAGCTGCTGAGATTATGGCCTCACCCATGCCACGGTTCCTGCCCGCCATCGTGTCCCGAGCAGCGGCCATAGCCCTAGGCTGCTGGTGTATTCTGCGTTGCTTCTGGAATCGAATGCTAACAGGCCACGGGGTGAAGTGGCTGGCGCCGGGTTTGAAGTGGAGGAGTTGGAGACGGGTGAAAGTCAGACGATTGGAGCCAATAAGAATTTGTGTTGAGGATTGGGTACCCAAAAATAACCGTGGATTCAGCGGCCTCTCGTGAAGTATTGGGGCTATGGCCTACTTCCGGCTGGTTTTAGGGATCATCAAGCAACCATGGATACGATACCTTGGAGAACGCCACAGGATGGTGGTCTCATGGTGGTCTCAATGATTCTTTCACATTCTTTCCATCCTTTTCCATTCCTGACAATTTTCCGGGACCAGATGATTCCTATTGATTCCAATTTCGCTCTTAAAACACCATGATTCAAAAAAAAAAAACATCTTGACCCCCAACAAAAATCGCCCTTTTTCGCTCAGCTTGGGTGCCAATGGCACCCCTTCCAATCACCCGCAAGTGACACAGGGAGCTTTCCAGTGCTGTGCGTTACGAAGTCATGGAGCAGCTCTTTCCGGACTGGAACAAGGCCGCGGAACGCACCCGAGATGCTGAGATCAGCCCCAGCCTGAAGGACCCCCTGAAACGGGCGATGGAGATCAGTGGGATTCCACTGGTGGGCTATCAGGGGCAATCCAAAGTGATTTCAAAAGTTGGGTAGATTAGATTCAAAAAAAATCATGAAGGGAAAAGTCACCTAAGGATGGAAGTGCTCCTAGCACCGATTCTTTCAACAGCTGTTGCGGCTCCATCGTGCAAGAGCTGTGATGGCATGAGGCTGGTGAAAGGAGCTACAGGACGGAAAATGAACGTGGGAACCAGTTGGGAACTAGGCTATACCGAGACTATCCCGCAACAACCCCCCCTTTGCGACGACAGTAGATTGCCAGTGATATGGGTGCCCAATGGTGCCCATGCTTGACCACAAACGGTAAGTGGACCACTGGGATACTTCAGAGCTGTGAAGCCGCCCGCCTTACGGTCGCCTTGCCGCCGGGCGCCATGGTGCGTGACTTCTTGCGGCTTTTGATTCGGCCACGGATCGACAGGAAGATGTTCAAATGCCACCAGCCGCAGATGAAAAATGCCGATTTTCAAAAAGCACTGGAATGATGGTGAAGATAGAGGTAACTCTCCAAAGATCTATAAAACAGGTTAGTATGGTTAGTCAATTATGGCATCATTTGTCTAGATGGATGTTTAATGATGTTTATGGTTGGGGGACTTCAGATTGCGGGGACTTGGATCCTCGAGTTTGATAGGCCCTGGCCTCGCCGAGGTGCCGCTCCCAAATCTGTTTGGGGTGTCTGTTTGACCTCGACATTGCGAAAAATTTGGGGAACATACCCCCCAAAGTTGATGCTGACAGTCTGACATATTGTCTGAAAATTAAAATAAATTAAACATATCCCTTTTTTGATCCCCCCGTTTGGTGGATGGTTAAATTATGTTACCCTCTGGTTATTTAACATAGCCATGGAAAATGGCCCATTTATAGATGGTTTACCTATTAAAAATGGTGATTTTCCATGGCTATGTTAAATAACCAAATGGTAAATTAAACATCATTAAACATCATTAAAAAAAACATCATTTTTGATTTTTGATGGTTTCAGGACGGAATCTCGGGAGCTTGAGCCATCTTGAGCCTGGCTGAGGTGAGCAATCTCAAAGCGACTGGCTCTTTGTTTGCAGAGAAGGCCCATAGAACATGCCCAGATGCCTAGTTTTGGTTGGAAAATGGTGCCTAATGGTGCCTAGACTTTGTGATTCGTGCCTTGACCGGGATCTTTCGTGGATATCTCCACTCTTTTTCCATAGTTTATGGGTGTTTCCTAAAATTGGGGGGTAATACCAAATCAGCCAATTTTTCCAATCAATTATAGATGGATCCATGAAACAAACCATCCAGCTATTGGGGCCCCTGACTATGGAACCCCCCAGTTGTTTCAATGGACCGAGGTCGGAGGCCTATGAGCGATGGAATGTCATCTATGTCTCCTGTCCCTTTCTTTGGGGACGTGATGCCGAGGATTTTTGTTTACGACAGAAAGGGAAAGCGAGTGGGGTTGATGACATGGGGAATCGGGCAATCATGGCGACCTGATTCTTTTTGCTTTTAAGGAAACGTTCGTCATGATGATCATGATTAGTACATATTAGTACTGTATCACAGTTGGCAGAATTTTGTGACAGATGCATGTCCCTAGAAGCGGAGGCCCCCAAGTAGTAGGTCGATCCACACGACATTGAAGCTACAGCTGACTGGTGGGAAGTTCTCAGCCAAGTCTTCTACCACCTGGGGGGAACCCCAAACCAGGCGACTCCCAAGCCCACCCAAATCCATCACATTGATGAATCGACGAGCCCAACACGTTTCATGGTGAAGTCTAGTCATCGTCATCATCGTCATCCTCGTCATCATCGTCGTCGTCCTCGTCGTCATCATCATCATCATCATCATCATTCCTCTCGACAAGCACACAGATGGAACAACGACGCTCCAAACAGTATCAAACAGTATCAAACAGTATCACATAGTATCAAACAGTATCACATAGTATCAAATAGTATCAAATAGTATCAAACAGTCATATATCTTATGATATCTCTAGTTTCTATTGATTCATCATGATTCATCCCGAGTAACGAACCATGGCCTTTTTTTCGTATCCCCTTTTTGGCGGTCCGTTGATCTTGGACCAACGCCCGAGGTTTGGAGTTTGGTCTTGACCTCTTTGGTCCTTTGGTTGGGCCGTGCCCTATGGGAGCTGTCCAGGCTCTATGTCCAAATCAACATAGCTTCTTTGTTAATGGATCTTCCCCAAACAAAATGAAAAATATAGCATTATGCAATATATTGTATATATAATATAATGGATAATGATATTATATATGTATATATATATATACATCAGGAGGAAGAAAGTTTTTTCCCGTTTAGCGTCTTATAAACATCATGATCTTCAGCCGCGGATCAATTATCCTCATTTCGCGTGGCCCACGTGGCGGATCGTATTTCAAGTCGGAATAAATTAGTTCTTTTAAAAGCAAACCAGCTGATCCGCGATCCGCCATGTGATTCACATGAGACCTGTCAGGAGTCCAAGGGGAGAGGGTTGCAGCAGCTAGTCAAGAGGAACAACTTTTGTCCTGGTGGTGTATATATATATATATGATATTTATTAAGAAAAATATATATGTTAAAAACATTGTACGTGTATATATGATTGTATATGTATTGTATGTATATATGATATATGCATATCTCAATACACACATGTGTACGCGCATGCATTTGGGTGAGATAGGCAGTCATGGCTTTTGTTGGCAATGAAGGCTGAAGTTGGGGACTGTCTTTGAGGACATCCTCTTCACAGTGGTACCTTGTCGAAGATGGAATTGGATGATGGGAAAATATACAAGACCACCTGTATATTTGGGTGTAAACGCCATGGTTTCCCGCAGACGTCCCTTAAAATCAAATGATGCCAAATGATCATTGTCGGAAAGTCTTAGAGCTGAAACATGCAGATGGCTTTGGGCACCCAAAACTCGAATTTAAGTTGTAACATCTATTAGCATGTACTAGAAATGATCCAAATTTGTGGCTTGGGGATGAGTCAGTCGGTGCTGGGCAAATCTGTTTCCATTTGCCAATGCTGAAATGAACATGCCAAGGCAATTCATTCTATCCATTTGTGGGACGTTCACTGGGTATAGGTGTGGGGGTCGCCTACTCAAGACTAACATCTACACATCAGGAACTGTGGACTGGGAAATCTGCACATGAATATGTAGAATCACTGCAAGAGGGGCACGATGCAAGAATTCCTGCTTGTTAGGCGTTGGATGATGTTGGATGAATGCATATATATATATATATACACATACACCAGTAGATACCTGAAACATCTTGACACAGAGTTCACCAGATGGATCTACCCTGGTGTTGGTAGGCTTGACAACCCCGCAGAATCTCCACGCAAAGGGAGGAGGCTTGTGGACCGGTTGATGCCCATCTTTATTTTGTGGGTCAATATGGGGGTGGGTTTCCATGATTTACCATAGGAGGGATGAATATCCAGCTGCATCAGCAGCTGCATCAGCTATTTTGATGTAAAAAACAGCTGGATTTTCCCTACAGTATTGAAATCCAGGGGGAATCCCTTCGAAAATCACCTCAAGTTGTCAAGGTGGACATTCTGCTGTGCACCGTGCTGAATGGCCTCTCTTGGTACTGCGTGGTGAAACGCTTGGGCTTCTGTGGCCGGGCGGGATATCTGGTTTGGGCGCTGATCTACGTCTTCCTGAGCATCGGGCGCTTGCAGACCATTACCTGGACTTCCTGGGCTGGGCTTTGGGGGGCAAAATCTACAACCATTGGTCTGTATACCCAAACTTTATACCCAAATATAGAGGTTTCCTGTAGATTTCCCACCATCTAATTCTATCCAATTCCCGGATCCATTGGGATGGTCAGGTGGCCACTGACGATGTTCCGAGACCCACAAGGCTTTTGCGTGTCTTTAGTTTGACAGACTCAGGGTAGTCCGCACCATGGTATGTTGTCCCCTCCTGGAAGAATCAGGATGCAGCACAAGTCGCTCCACCTTGTCCTTTTGCTGGGAGCAGCAAGCTCTGCTCGTTCAATCTGTTGCATGTGTATACTCTGTCGTATGTGCTGATGAGAATAAGTCAAAACCCTGGTACCGTTGGTGTTTTTTTTGCGGGATGTTCATCTCCCCATTCCGACATATTCCGATCTCTAGGGCCACATTCCGACATACTTGTCACATTGGCTCCCTGGTGGATCACTTGATTTTTCAACTTTCGGTTAAATCATTGGTTTGGTGAGATTTTTCTCACGAATCACGCGAATCACTCTCAGTTCTTCCAGTCGTTTCCAGGAGCCAATGGTTCTTGTTTTACATCTTGATGCTCATCCCAGAACCTGGTTTGAATTTGGGCACAAAATCTCGCCTGGTTCGCTAGGGAATATACCCTCTGGTAATTTAACATAGCTATTGAAAATGGCCATTTATAGTGAGTTTTCCCATTAAAAATTGTGATTTTCCATAGTTATGTTAGTTTACCAGAGGGTATGCAGGATTTCTTCAATCCATTGAACTCTGTTCGAAACAAGCATAGACTTGTGGAAATCAAACATGTTCAACAGGCCAGTAATAAAAGACTTCCCTGGTTGAACATCGGTTTTAGAGTAGGGTTTCCTGCACATCTACCCTTCAAGTTGCCAAAGGGGGACCGTGGAATCAATTTGTCAAGCAATTTATGGAGTGATTTGTGAAAAAAAATCCAGACGACACACAAAAATCTACCCATGTTTATCCATTTTGAGATATTTTGAGCTTTGAATTCATAGCCTCAACACGAAGTTTTCGTCCGGGTTTTCCCGTTTTTGGGATGGGTCAAAACCTATGAAATTACGTGGAAATGGGGGAATCAACATCCATTCACGGGCCAGAATGTCAGCGATTTACACTTTGGGATACTTTGGGTACCATCTAGGTGCCACTTAAAATTCGGAAACAGAAAGCCCCACCCAGAAAACTCGGGCCTGGAGCAGCGACCCAGGCGGGCTACATGATTCTGGCCTTGATCCAATTGTACCGCAGCAGTCGGCCTGGACTCCTGACGTGAGTCGACCGTGAGATACGCCGTGAGATACGCCGTGAGACCAATGACCTGAAAATCCGCTGAGCAGTTGCGAAGGGATTTTGAGATGGTGAAATATGGTGAATGTCCAATGAAAATCATCCCTTTTCATGGTGAAATCCAAGCAACCGATCGATTTTAAGGGATTTTTCAGAGGTTTCTGAATTGCATCATTACTGCAAGTTGTCTATTGTTTCCTATGTTCATGACAATATTGATACTTTCATCTTTTCTATCCGCCTAAGGGGGTTGCGGGCGATATCATTTGATGGTCCATGGTGTCAGATATGGCAGATATCTTTTGTGTCAGCATCGCATCTCACTGGAGCAGCCCAGCACGATCACTTGAAAAAGACGGTGGCGATGGCAGGTCATACCGACGAGTACTGGTAGTCATGATGTAGATTCTCTATGTTTTGGCATGCTATGTGGAACATAGCATGGATATTCACGGTCGCTTCGCGACGAGAACCGCCCGCACCAAGTGTAATGGATTCGGGAAGTCTAAGGAGTTCGTCGTGCTACAGACTTTTGTTCCCTGTGTTTTCTTACATGAACGTTTTTTTAGCACTTATTGGGCACTTTTTAGCTCCGTATGAGCCTATCTTGGCCCCATATGAGAGTATGTTGGCCCCAATTGAGGCTATGTTGGCCCCATGTGAGCCTATCTTAGGCTCATGTTGGGCCTATGTTGGGCCTATCTTGACCCATTTTTGGCCTATATTGGCCCAGATCAAGAATTTTGCCCCCTTTTGAAAAACATGCAAAAACATAGGATTCTAGAGCAAAAATGACCCCCCCCAAGCTAAAGCTTATTAGCTATAATGCAATTGCTAACGGTTCACGCAGGCACACAAAAACGCCTCGGCACCTTCGGTGCGGGCGGATTTCAAACATGTTCCTCTAGATCCCCATGTTTATCCCGTACATTCCCATACTATTCCTGGATTCTACATTTGTTGGCATTTCCTTACCACCAACCAGCCACAGTCGGAGACTTGAACTAGGCAATTTACTTTACATCAAGCCAGTAATATCATGTTGTACACACGTTTCCACTCAAATGCCTGCTGAAAAACCAACCCATGTTGTTTTCATCATTTGAAAGCCACGCCTCCTTTTCTTGGGACGCCCCTACTTGTATCAGATTGTTGGTTACTTACATACGATTATGTAAATACTAAGAATTCCCAAGAGATGGTTGATTGTCCTTCCAGTCATTCTTCTACAATGTTTGACCGAAATTGACAGACACCCAGCCCAGCTGTTGATATTTCAACAGATCCCTAAAACTCATCTGGTATCCATTTTGAGGTATCAAATCACTATTGATTCCAGCAATTTCCCTTCTATTTTGTTGGTGAAAAATCACCACTGTTCATGCTTGCCTAAATTCCATTTCGCTACAGCAAATCCTTCTACCTGGGACTTATTCATGTTCGGAGGTTTCCTAAAATAGGGGTACCCCAAAATGGATGGCTTTTCATGCAACATCCTATTCAAATGGAGGATTTGTTGGTTTCTTGTTGGCTACTTGTCCGATTAGATCCCCATTATTGACATGCTTTCTCATGATATCCCACTAGTTCTCTGCATATCCCTTTGGAAAAAACCAAGAAATCTTGGTAAAAAATGCCTTTCTGGCCCCCAGAAGCTGAAATGTTGATGAAAGGTTGTCCGCTGTTGATACTTTCCCATACTTTCCCATTATTATATATATAATATATAATTATGTATATATATATATATTCATTTATGCCCACTGTTCATCCCAGTATATTCGCATAAAATGGTTGGATTTTATATCCCCCCAGAACTTTGTTGCTTAAGTCCAGAATTCTCTCCCTTCTTGAACGATCCTTTTTCAAATATCCCATGACATATATATCCTAATTCCTAGAACGTTGTTGGTGCCTTCCCCCCAGCCCCTGCCCAACTTGGCGGTCGGTTGCTTCCGTTGCTTCCGCCTCTCCAGGAGCTGCTCACGGCAGATGATGTGGCCAAGACCATGTCCTTTTACACCGACATCTGTGCCTCTCAGAGCTCCATCAGCGCCTCCATGAAGGCTGAGTGAAGAGCCGATCTAGCAGTTGAATGAGGGTAGAATAGCCATAGAAACCCAAGCATGATGTGGATTTAAGAGGATATCATGGGAACATCATAGGTTGTGATCCATCATGTCATCTAAACATCTCCATCTTTGTGGCTCAAGAGCCACATTTGTTGAAGGTTGCCATGGGTATGGCCCCATCTGTTTTTTTGCTTCCGGCGGGTCCGGTGGGTGATTTTCATAGTGAGGATCCTGTGGGAGGCCACCTGGGAGTGCAAGCTCTTTGACATCCGCGTTGAAAACCCCGAAGGAGCTGCTCTTAGATCGGGGGAAGGAGATGTGATCTGAAGTTGTGGACAGCAAATTGGCACGTTATTTTCAGAGGTTAAGATTTTGCAGAAAAGGGTACCTTCTGGTAAACTAACATAACTATGGAAAATCACCATTTTCAATGGGAAAATCCACTATAAATGGCCATTTTCAATAGCTATGTTAAATTACCAGAGGGTATTGGGAAGAAGGTCTCATGACATTTTGAGTGCACCGCACCAGTAGAGCTTGGGAATCCTTGCACAGTGGAAAAGTCGGGATTTTCGACGAAGGTACTTCATCCACTATATTGCACATCTGCTTGTGTCTCCTGACTCCATAAATGTCTACTGTATACTCATTTAATGGTCATCCAAATGATTCTCTGCTCATATATATATGATTATATATATATATATGGTTAATTATACGTAGTTACATATATTGTTATCTTTATAGTTATGGCAGTTCTGGTCATATTTTTTAATTTCGACCTTAAACACGTATCTTTTTCGCTGAACGCGTCACTTCAGCCGGCGTTCCAGGCGGAAGTTGGGATCCTACGGTGCGGTGCCCAGAGGATCCCAGAGGTGCTGTCGCTGCCGAGGCGGTTCCTACTGTTCTGATATTGTTATGACCCCATGATTTATATCATTGGATTGGTTTAAGGGAAAAGCTACAGGAAACCATGGTTTTTACCATCAAATATAGGGCTTTCCTGTACATTTTCCCATCATCCAATTCTATGATTATATATAGGAAAACAATGGCATCATTTTACATTTTTTTAAATGTCATTCTAACGATGCTTTTTGATCATTCTTGTGTCATGAGTATCATGACTGCTATCATCATTGTTATCAGTATGATCATTACAGACATTATAGATAATCACAACTCATCAGAAATCACCAGAAATCATCATAAATCACCAGAAATCGTCATAGATCATAAATCACCTGGCAGCTTAAAATCAGAAACACTTCGCCGTTGGCGCTGAGACGAATCATGCCTTGCCCGACGTGGACAAGGATACCCTGATGAACGGAACCAGAGGCCCATCCATGTAGTATACCAGATGGCTTATTATGGGATATTAATGGGAATTATTATTGCTTGTGAGCAGGTGCAAGCAGACTGTCCCACCTAAGCTGCGGCCTCTGATTTTCCTCCTTGTCGTGCTCGGCGGGGATCGTTCCCCAATCTTGATTTGGAAAAGGGGCAGCTGCAATTGATAAATGTTGCAACTGCTGGATCTGACATGGAATGCAAAATGAAGTGCAAAATATGGCTAATATGGGAAGTGACATCTTAGCACTCCCCCTTGATGGTTCCGCAAGGAAAACATCACCTTACGCTCAAACTACCCCTCTCAGTTCATCCACAGCTCTTGCAAAGTGCAGTCATTTCTGTGAGTCGTCCTTTTGGACATCGATGGTTGGTATGGAAAATCTTGACGGACTTTCCAAGAAGGATCCCCTTTTTTGGTAGCGGAGCTTGGTTGAGGCGCTCCGCTTCCTTCTTACACAACTCACACCACTGAGCTTCATAGTGAGGACCGATCTTTGGCCCATGCAAATGACCGCAGTTTGGATTCGAATGAAAGACTGCTCCAAACTGCGTGAAGAAAACCTTGAAGCCAATCTTGATCTCAGGCTTCTCTTCGTCGCTTTCTATCCACAGTGGACTTCCCTTGGTGTTGAGCTCCCTTCTGATCTGTCTTTCATCTTCTTCAAGCTGCTTCCACCATCGTTCATCTTCGATCATTGGATCGATCCATTGGGGTGTTGGGTCCTGGCTTGATGATGCCGGACCAGAGTGGCCAGACGGGCCACTTGGCGGGCGCCGGTCAGGGTCTCCTCTACCCCCACCTGCGTCGCCGCCACTGGGGCGCTGGACAGGGTCTCCTCTACCCGTTCCTGCGTCACCCACTTCCGGGAGCTGGGTAGGGTCTCCTCTACCCTCCCCTGCCTCACCGGGAACACCCTTGGATCGTGATGACTTGAGGAACCTTGTGCTGCTGGGGCGACTTCTGGACTTCTGGGAACGAGGCACTTCGGTCTCTCCCTGACTCATCCTTACTGCGACCTTCCAGCAAGTTTGAAACAAGACCGTGGCAATCACCACCATCACGGTGTATGCCACCATCATCCAGTGAAACTCCCTCAAGCCATCTCGCTCTTCTGATTCTTCATCCTCTCCTTCTGCCTTGGCCATTGATAGGATAGCAGCCAAAGTGATCAGTCTGACTGCATTGGCTGCCTGTTCCATCTTCATGGTGTGCTGCTCTGTCTCCTCATGTTGTGCTGAACCTGTTTCTTTTCTTTCTGCCTCTCCTGTTTTCTGTCCCATGCCCATGAGCTTCTTGAGTGTCTCAATTCTGGGAGACGTCAGTGCCTTTGTGCCTATGTCGGCGATCATCTTTTCTCCGGGGAGATGGTTGAGGCCCCATTCTCCTCCCAAAATCGCCTGTCTGGCGTAGGAGGAGCGGAGGCGTAGATGACGTGTTCGCCATGATCCTCCCTCGCTCGAGAGGATGCTGATGGCTGTGGAGCTGTCTGTCCACGCCACCTTCCGGACTCCCTTGACAATCTCCTCTAGCAGGACTGAAACTGACTCTCCTGCATTGAGGCCCTCCACCAATTCACTGAGCTCTGCTTCCCCTGTAGATAGGGTCACAGATGCCTGTCTCCCTGACCTCCAAAACAGGGGGCATCGGTTCACCATCACCAAATATGCACCATGAGACTCTTCTCCTTCTGGTGCAAATGACGCATCGGTGAAAACTTGGATGATTGGCTCTT